ATAACACACAATTAAAATAGCCACATGAAAAAAATCTCTTAATACACATAATTAAAATAGTATATAACACACAATTAAAATAGCAACATGAAAAAAAATCTCTTAATACCTGAGAATCTAACTATAACTGTTAATTTAAATATTCATTTATGTTTGATCTTTAAGAACACTCCAATATAAAATAAGTTGAACATCTCTGACATCAGAATGCATCTATGGCTTTGCTATGTGGATTGAAGGCCAGTGGCTCACCAGTCGCCTTCCAGGGCTTTAGCACCAGATTGGGACAGCAGAGGCATCTGGGCTCTTCAGTGTGAAGACAGTCATTGCTGGAGAATGCAGACTGTTTCATGTAAAGCAAACTAATCAATCTCCTTTTAAAACACGGTCTAGCCTTCTGTTCCTCTACAGAACCCTTACACGTACAATTTCTAACATAATTTTTGTACAGGGAAACATAACTATGTTCAACCAAAATTTAGGATCAAAATTTTAAGAATCCCCATCTTTCTACTGGTTAATAAAATATAGCATATACCTTTGAGAAAACAGTTTTTTAAGGAATATATATATGACTTGTAAAGGCATAATAGTACATAAACATAAAACAGCATATTATTTGTAAGTACAATCAAATTGAGGAGGTAGGGTTTTTAAAATCAAATTCTAGTATCTCATACCTTCTCTATTTTACACACACAAATTTCAATATAACATTTAACACAGTGTGAATTTTAACAAAAATTTGTACACACTTTTAGGGCCGTTTTATTGAAGCACCATAATCCACAAGTGAAATTAAAGAAAAAAATAAAACAAGGGACCTGAAATATATATATATTATATATGTATGAACATATATGTCAGTAGAAATATAATGGCTATGGGCTTGTTTGGTGGAATTATTAATTTGATAATTACTGACATACAATCATGCTTACAGTAGTGTAAAATAGTTTTTCCTAATTTTATTTGCTCCATTTTAACACATGGAATCACTTCATTGTACCGTGGGAAACTGACCAGGTTGGTTTGCACGTGTGCTGCTAACAATATAAGATAATGATGGCCCATTCAAAGCTGTTAACAGCAACGATGTCTTCGTGTAATTCATTCAAGCACGCTTGAATTCCCTATAAGCAACGATGTCATTTGAAGATGATCCTGATTGTGGTCATATCTGTTAAACTGTCTTTAAAACATTAAGTGACCTGAATCATTGGTGAGCACCTTGACACACAAAGCTCTGAATACGGAATTATCCGGAACGGAGGAGTAAGGAAAGGAGCACCAAAGAGCCACGTTTCTCAGGACATCTCCTTTATCAGGCACATCCCGTTTCTGACACTCAGACCACTTGAATGGGGAGACCAGCAGCCATGTGAGGAACACATTTCCCACAGAACCCTCCACACCTGCCATAGACTTTGGTTCCATCCTGAAAGCAAAAAGAGGCAGAAATACAGGGGACTTTCACACAAGCAGGGAAGTGTGCATGACACGGAGAAGCACCTGTTTTGAATCATGTGGTTGAAGTCCTTAGCAAAGGATTTCTGTAGCAGTGACACTAAAATGGTAGCCATGGGAATCTGTAAAGGGGTACGACAGCCTAGGAGTCATACTAGCTGTTGTTGATGTCAAAACCACAATAGAATTTAGATGTTTCATCTTAATACACATGCTTTTTCATCAAGGTCTTAAATTTGTATTGGTGAGCTTATTAGAACCTCTCCAAATTTGCTGCCTAAGTTTACACAATTTTACACAACAATCTCTTTTTGTTAATTTAATTTTATTTTTTTGTTTTATGTGTATGCATGTATTGCCTGCATGTAGGTAAGTGCACCTGTGTGGTGAAATGCCCACGGAGGTCAGAAGAGGCTGTTGGATCCCCCAGGACTGGAGTTACAGACAGTTGTTAGTTGCCATGTGGGTGCTGGGATTCGAACCCGGATCTTCTGCATGAACAACCAGTGTTCTTAACCACTGAGCCATCTCTCCAGCCCCCACAACAATCTCTTAAAACAAGTAAAATACACTGACAAACTTGAGCATAAAGGCATGCAGCTCACATGCCACCCCATTCTCAAACATATCATGGAAATATCTATAGTGTACCAGGGAGAGAAATGCAGAAAGCAACGTTATAGGGAGAGAAAAACTGGGTAGAAGCCATGGACATGGTTAGAGAAAAATGAGAGCGAGTACTTGGGCTGCGAGTACTCTAAGGAGTGTCGGTAGCCTGGGCTCGGGGCAGACGCGAGCTCGGCAACACCTTCACTTTAAGTCCAGCATCAAAAGACTGAGCATCTGCATAGGATGAGAAAAAAGTGAGTTGAACTCTGGTCACACTTATAGGGAAGGTAAATTGTTAGTTTTTATTCAGGGAGGAAAGAAAGAATAGGGACAGAAATGTTCAGGCTTGGGGACATTTTGAGCTGTAAGAATAGTGAAAACAGCCCTTTAACTCCAGGGAGTCTGAGTAAACAGAGAAAATGGTAGCAGACCCGAGTTTTGTGTATTTCCCTATTTCTAGGTTATTATGGTAAAAAGTTCATCTTACTACATTTTATGGCAGATCAAAATGTTTGCATTTCTGTTATTATGTTGGGTTTTCACGAGTCTCGGTTTTGTGCCAGGTATCAGACTTCAAACACTGCTGTCTGGCTCTCATTCTCCCACCACAAAGGATTAAACAGAAATATGCTAAATCAATCCCTAAATTAGCTATTTTTAAGTCGTTTGTTTAAAAAAGTTCACTAGTCTACCCATACAAGAGAAATAAAAAAATTAAAACTTTAATTTTGAATTCAAATACAATTCTTCAGTCTTTAGAAACACAATGTTTTAAAGACTAAGGTATAAGAATACTACATTGCATTCATAAGTATTCATTCGAATCGGAGTATAACATATCACTTTTATTAAAAGAAAAATTAGAAAATATTGGAGTGGGCAGAGGCTGTGGCATGTGTTGGTTTATGTGCAATGTAAGGAAGAATACTTACAGCCTAGGCTCCCTTCCCCATGGAGAGAGCCTGAAGCATAGGAATTATAAGCAGTGAGAGGCACTTTAAAAGGCCTGTGCTGGTACATGCATTCCTGCTGTAGTAAAAGATTACGTTGTAGTTATAACTACAATTGTTATATGTTGGTTTCTCTTCAAATAGTATAAACCTTTCATCTTTTAAAATACCATGAAATACTTATTTTTTGTGTGCATGAGTATGTGTGTGATATAGCTACATGCTCATGTGGGTGTGTACATTCGTACATGCAAATGCATTCATACATGTGTACATGTGTGAGTAGAGGCCAGAGGTTGACGTCAGGCATCTTAATGGATAGCCCTCCACCTTATTTCTTGAGACAGGGTCTCTCCTTGAGACCAAAGCTCATCAGTTTGGCTAATGAGCTCTAGGGATCCCCGTATGTCCATCTTCTCCTGGAGGACAGGGGTCAGAGATGCAGGCCACAGTGCCAACCTTTATGTGGGTGCTGGGATCCAAACTCACGTTCTCATCCCTGTATGGCAGGCACTTTACTGAGCAAGCCATTTCCCCAGCCCCACAGAATCATTTACCTAGATAAAATAGCAGCGTAATCTAGATAAAAATGGGCAAGAAACATGAATGTAGCATAAATAAAGATTCCTAATTCTGGAAAACACTTGGGGACATTAAATGATACATGCACCAATAGCCCCATCACTCAACCAAAGTAATGAGGTAAGTTATGTAAACTCCATATTCAACCCTCTTATTGAAGTATTAAGCCCTAAATCTTCTTTTAGGTTTTTGTTTATTTGCCTTTACTTTTTCAATACAAGGGACTGAACCTGAGGACGGAAGGTACGTGCTAGGCAAATTCGCTGCTGCTGAGCTGTACCCCCAGACAGGGTCTCACTACGTTACTGAGGCAGCCTTGAATTCAGTCTGTAGCCTGGCCTTGAACTTGCAATTCTTCTGCATCTGCCTCCCAAGTAGCAGGGATTATAGGCCTCCAGGCCTGACCTGCAAATCTTAAAATAGGGTTAAATCACTATTTTCTTAAAAAGCAAAACCAAAACATGCATGTCAAATCATTAGCTCTAAATCTGAGATGCATGTTCCTGTATCTATAACCTATATCTGAATGGTGTATGTATTTATATGCACAACAATAAATTTGGTTTGTACCCCATTGTGCATGGAATATTCACTATACGCAATAGATTTCTAGTGACTGGTATGTCTTTATATTTGAGGGAGAGGGCCTTAGTGCTAGATCCCAGCACAGGAGGGGTTATCAGGCCCTTTGGTCCTGAAGGACTTACTTGGGATCTGTGGATGATGACAGAGGCATGCCTCCCCTGAGCGAGCCACTTGGCTGTGTTGGATATCTTCACCCCAGTTCCTGCCAAGTTAATGCTGAACTGTCCCTGGATCGTAAGAAAAAAAATAGATGAATACATAAAATATTTAAGAATGCTCTTGCCTAGAAACATCAAATTACTTTCCAAGGGTCTTAACTGAAAGAACATCGATACAACTTTACTGTGAGGAAATGAACCAGTTAAAGAGTTTTAAAACTGATTATAAAGAAGCCCTCTCAGTTCCAAGTGAGAACAGAGCTGACGTGCGGTGATGGTGATTGTGCAGGCCTTGGTTTCTGTGGCACCCGGAGCCAAGGAGCTTCTACAAATGGCAGGTCCTGATGGTGCACGTGCTGGTATGAAGATGCGCCCAACTTTAACATCTCTGCTGATTTGAGCTTTGACTACTCATTACTGATTTGTGTGGTGCTACATGTTTGATGTGTTTTCTGCAGTTTTATTATCCTGACTCATCCCTTGTGCAACAAGAACGTGAATTCTTCACTAACTACACAAGACTGTCAAGTGCTGCATTTTCATCCCAGCTGTCACCCTTTTAAAGGCCCCAAGAGGATGCATGGACTGATGCCACACAACATACACAGCTGCAAAAGCACTGGGACTCAGGGACTCAGGACTGAGGATACTCAGGTGCTTGCTGCAGCTGTGGCACTGGATGCTTGGACTGAGAGTCTCATGGAACTACTAACAATATCTGTCTGCTGAGGTGCAGGCTCACTTTCTAACACATGTCTGGGTGTAGTTCTCCCAATAACCTGAGATCTAGATTTCTGGGGAACTTAGCAAGCAGCACAGGCCGAGGAGTTGCAGCATAGCTGTGGCTCTGACCCCAACAAGGTTCTGGGGAAGGAATTTTCCAGAGGCTTGGACCCAGAGAAGCACCACTCAGAACCAATAAGGCAGAATAGCAGCTCAGGTTCCAAGGCGTAAGGCACCACAAAACTGTGACTCCAGACTTTGAACTTTGGGACATAACAGTAGCCCTGGCTTTGTGACACCAGGTGCAGCAGCAATAGGAGCCATGATTCAGAGAGGCAGGACATTGTTGTGGTATGGGCACAAGGGAAGGGAGCAATGCAGCAACACTTTACCCTACAAAGAGGCAGGTGCTTCCGCATCCTGGACTGCGATGGGCTAGTACAGGTCCAGGGCTGTGGGCACTGGGGATGTTTGGTCTGATGGATGGGATGGCACAGTTTAGTCAAGCACTGGTTCTCTGGAACATGAAGCACTACACCTATCCAACACCAAGAACCATGGTTCTGTGGGTTGGCAGAAACTTTAGCTCTTTGATTCCATGTGACTTGTGGATCCATGGAGAAGCTGTGGCTTCTGCATACAGGAAGTATGGGGTTCCAGGATGCTGCCTCAACTGTGATGCTAGAGGGTAGAGAAAATGCTGGCATTCCAAATAAGTGTCGGGACAATTAGACATCCCCATAAAACACCCTTCAGGCTTCACACCAAAATTTCAAAACAGAGAAATCTTTGTAATTTGGGATTGCATTTCTTAGATCTGCCACTGTGGTGGTTTGAATGAAAATGTCCCCCATAGGCTCCAAGTATTTGGATATTTTGTCCCCAGATGGTGGTGCTGTTTTCCAGTGGTGGCACAAGTGTGGCTATGCTGGAGGAAGCATGTCACTGGGGGTGGGCTTAGAGTGATTAAGCCTTCTTGGATCTCCAGTTACTTGCTTTCTTGCTTCCTGTGCCTGCTTGAAGATGTGAGAGCCTAGCTTCAGCTCCTCCTCCAGCCTACCTCTGCCACCATGCCTTCCCACCAAGATTGACTGTAATTCCCCTGGAAGAGTAAGCTCAAATAAAGTCTTCCTTCTATAAATTGCTTGGGTCAGTGTTTCTATCACAGGAGCAGAAAAGTGACTAATACAGCCACTAATGGAGCAATCCATAAAAAGGAACACGTTTGACTTCATTACAATAAAATAAGAAGCTTTTACTCTGAAGAAGAATGAAAAAGTTCAGATAAGAACAGAATGCTTGCAAATATCACTTCTGACAAAAGACCTGCTACATCCAGAATAGGCAAAGAGCTCTCGAAACTCGCTAGGAAGAAAACAAATTCAACTTGAGACATGGGCTGAAGACTTGAACACCCACTTCACAAAGCAAAATGTACAAATGGCAAATAAGCCCATGAATGCGTAACATCATTATCCACTGGAAAAATGTAGAAATCATTATCAGACGCCAGAATGAGAAAACAAATGAGCAAAGAGAAACAAGGCTGGCAGGAGCTGTGCTTGCAAGAACGCAGACAGCTAGGTCCTTCCTCTCTGCTGGTGGAAATACGAGATGGTACAGCCACTCTTCAAAATACATCATATGATCTGTAAGGACAGCCCTAGGGAGTTAGCCTAGGGAGTCAGCCGAGAGCTCCCTCAAATTCCTGTATATAAATGTATGAATAATGGTCTCCAAAAACTAGGAACAGCCCAGCACTTTCTAACAGGTAAGTGGGTAAAATGCAGAAAAATTCAGTTAACTATAAAGTTAAATGCATCTCAACAACAAAGGAACAGTCAGGAATGGCTCTCGGAGGCATCATGCAAGATGATGGTAGCCCGTCTCAAAGGCGATGTGCTGTATGAACTACTGCATTTATGAATAATGGTCTCCAAAAACTAGGAACAGCCCAGCACTTTCTAACAGGTAAGTGGGTAAAATGCAGAAAAATTCAGTTAACTATAAAGTTAAATGCATCTCAACAACAAAGGAACAGTCAGGAATGGCTCTCGGAGGCATCATGCGAGATGATGGTAGCCCGTCTCAAAGGCGATGTGCTGTATGAACGACTGCATCGTTCTCACTTCACAAGACAAAGTAAGTCAACTGAGCGGGGCTCGGTATCTGTCAGGAGTTAGGTTGCAGGGAGGGAGTGTGACTCCAAAAAGAGGGGTATTAAGTTTTTTGGATGAGGGGCGGGTAGGTAAACTGGTCTGTACTGTGGTTAGAGTGATGATAACATAATTTGTACAAAAGTCACAGAACTCAGAAACTCCAGAGCACCAAAAAAGATAATTTTATTATGTTATTTTAGGACATAAATTTTCTTTTGGTCTTTTTGAGACAGGGTCTCCCTGTAGCCCCAGCTGGCCTTGAACTCACAGAGATCTTCCTGTTTCTGCCTCCCAAGCGTTGGGATTAAAGGCATGCACCACCATGCCCAGATAAGACGTAAAATTTTTAATGTAGATGGACACAGTATTTGTTTGAAGAAAACAAATTTTCAGTTTACAACAAAGCCCAACCGCATATTAAGTGCATATATAAAGGAAGTTGGAGGATGAGGGGAACCAATGACACGACCAGCACAAAGCAACAAAAACAACAGGTCAATAGACAAAAGAGGGGTTGGTCCTGGTAAGGGATGAAGAAAAGGTCAAGCTCTAATGATGACAGGGAAGGAAAAGCAGAAAACCACACTCCACAGAGAAGATGGCAGGACCAGGCAGCAAACAGCAAACCCACAGCTTCCACGGAGCAGAAACTGAAGAGGTCAAAGAGATCACACACACACACACACACACACACACACACACACACACACACACACATCATATTCAGTAGCAAAACAGACAAGTAGTCAAGAAAATAAGGAGAGAACTCTAAATAATAAAATCAAAAGCTGGATCTTATCACTGTATATTAAACGCTAATCCTTGCTAGTAGAAAATACACATTCTAAATATATAACAACTGATCAGACACTCAAAAGAGTTTCTGGCATGATCCACTGGCATTAGATGAATATGGTTTTTTCTCTTACTCTTTGGGGATCAAATATTATTTACAAGACAGGAGGAGGCCTGCACCGGGCTACTCTGAGAACACTCACTTCACGTTTCACATCTGTATTCCAAAGTGACACGATACGCCCCCGTTTCATCTCATGTTGCAACGTGGAGTTTATTTTCCCTAAAGAACGCCATATGTGTCTGTTCTCCTTTTAGATTCATGTCCTGCTGTAGCCGGTCATATGCAAACACAGAGGATGTGGTTTTGATGAGTCTCAGACAACAGAAGAAGTTCTTTCTGTGACATCAAACATCTGGAAGGTATTCCTACAAATGTCGTGTAACCTAACACAGAATCTGGTTTATACATTTGACAGAACATTTCCAAAAACACTGGGCAGTTTGTATTTTTGGAAACAGTAGCCTCCAGCAAATAAATACAGACTGAATGTGGATAGGCACTGCTCACTTCAACAGCATCTAAGTTCAATAACATGTAGGAATAAAGCTCTGAACTCCAGAAACATGAGGGGGTTGGGGGCTCTCCGGGATGGTAGGGAGCATCTTACCACTGCTTCCACACTTGACTTTCTTAAGGACCTGAGAGAGGCTGTTACCATGGAGCATCTGTTTATCCAAACATAAACTGGAATTGCATGTTTTACAGCTATATCATGTTCTTAAGATGTTTTAGGGAAAATAGGGTTACACCGAAATTGGAATGAAAAAAAGTGTTAAAATGAAATTGAAATAGCTATCTTATTTAAAGGCCTGATTGTACAAAAACTCTTATTCGCATTCCGTGTTCATCAAGAGATGTTTTCTTTATAATAATTGACTTTCTGTTAAGTTATTTACTATGGGGAGAGTTACTAATGAGATAAAAAGAATTTGGATTCTATTTGATGATTATGTGATTTACTTGAATACCAATCCCTTACGGATTGGTTTCAACATCAAACGATGAAGACTAGATTTCCAAACCTTGATGATCTTTCCAAAACATTGTGAGGCCTCATATCACCAAACTGTTCGCATCTTACTAGAGCATCCAGTTTCCTGTGATATCAGATATATGACCAGAAGGCAGAATAGGAAGAGTTGCTAAAGAAAGTTCATCAGTCCCCAAACAGATTGGCCATTGGCAAATGAATAATTCCCATTCAAGAGGGTCAAAATGGAAGTGTCATCAGTAAAAGGAAGCCTCATACTATGGCAAACATTATTTAGCATGCTAAACATTTTAGGTTTCATATCATTCAGTTTAGAACATGTGTTTAAACAAAGAGC